TTGAGAAGCTGCAAAAAATAATCAACAATGCAGCTGAGGAAGCAATTCCATATAAGGACTTCAACAAACCAAAAAGGGTAACTAGCCCATGGTGGGATTCGGAATGCTTCATTATCATAAAAAATCGCAAAGAAAAGTTACAAGCATTCCAAGACAACCCAAACATTGAAAAGTATATTAAAGCTAAACGAGCTATTGCCCTCTCCAAATTACAATTAAGGAAAAAGAAAAAAACAAACTTCTTACAATTCTGTGAGTCTCTTAACAGAGAATCTAACTTGACGTACGTTTGGCAAAAAATTAAAAAGTTTTCGAATATGCATAAATCCTTTAACAAAACAACTATTAATAATAATATCAACATAGAAATGATTGACAGAATCGCAGTTTGCAACATCGACCCCAACTTTACACTGTCCCCGCTGCCTGACAATATAAAACATTTCACTCTACAAGAGCTTAAAAACGGGTTAAAGGGAAAAAACCTTTCTGCTCCCGGAATGGACGAAACTACCTATAAAATATTGGATTACCTACCAGAGACAGCAAAGAGAATCCTTTTGGGAACTTATAATAATTGCCTCTCAGGAAACGAAATTCCACAATCTTGGAAAAACTACAATATCATTCCGATCCTAAAACCAAATAAAAATCCCTTAAATGTGGAGAACTATAGGCCTATTGTCTTATCATCCTGCTACTGCAAGATCTTGGAAATCATGACTAAAAATCGTCTGGATTGGTGGCTAGAAAACAAAAAGACCTTCAGCTGGCTCCAAACAGGGTTCAGAAAAGGGATGGGAATCAATAACAATATTGCAACACTAACAACTCACATAAATCTAGCTTTTAATCTAAATGAAACCGTATTGGCAGTATTTTTAGACATCAAATCGGCCTATGACGGAGTGAACTTATATTCATTGTATGACAAATTGAAAAAGGCAGGCACACCGATGGAACTGTCAAACCTTATATTCAGATTATTATCAAACAGATCTTTATTCTCCAGAAAAAATGATGGTTCCTTCGCAGGACCTACCCTGGCAACTTCAGGACTCCCACAAGGTTCCCCTCTTAGTACTGTCCTTTTCAACATTTATATTGCAGATCTATTCAAGTTCCTACCGAATGATGTTAATCTGATGGGATATGCTGATGACTTGGTAATCTTCTGCAAAGGCAAGAACGTACAAACATTATCGCAGAAAATTAACGTTGCTTTGAATAAAGCCGATAAATGGCTAAAGGAAAATAGCTTAACCCTCTCAATCGAGAAATGCGAGTCCGTTTGGTTTACTAAAGGTGCGCGAAGGGTCGCTCCCCCAGACATAACGATTGGAGGTTCAATCATCCCTTATAAAAACCATGTCAAATACTTAGGAGTTATTTTACAGAAAAATTTAAAATGGGATAAACATATAGAAAATATATCTAACAAAGCAAGAAAGGGGATAAATGTGATAAAATGCTTTGCTAGAGTTTGGTGGGGAGCGGACCCACAAACACTTTTGACTGCATTCAATGCTTTGGTGAGATCCCGCCTAGATTTTGGATCTATTTTTATAAATCCAACTTCAATAAAAAACAAGGACAAATTGAACGGTATACTATACGAAGGACTGAGAATTTGTACAGGATGCATGAGGTCTACTCCCACCAATGTCCTACTGGCCGAATCAGCAACGATGTCCCTAGAATACAGGAGAAAGTGGTTAGGCGTCAAATTTCTTATGAAACCCATTTCAATACTCAACCACCCATTAATACTAGATCTTAGACAATTACATCAATGCTATGCACGTAATGCAGGGTCCTGGAAGGAACAGCATAGTCCTTACCTTGTACAGGCATTAACTCGTTTCTTCCCATATTTTAACAAAATATACAAAAAAGATATACAACCATGCTATGACTTCGATTATGACATTCAAACTCAGCCCCTAGGAAACTTGAACCTTAGCCTCAAAAAAAGAGAGTTGACTACTAAATCACAGTTTTTGATGGATACTGAGAAACTTAAGAAAAAGTTTAACTTCATCTACACAGATGCCTCTAAAAAAAGGGACAGGGCTGGTTTCGGGATATACATCCCTGATATCGATTTCAGATTTTCGGCAAGACTACAAGGGGAACTATGCATCTGCACTGCAGAAACGATTGCCATTTACGAAGCAGCCAATATTGTACTAAGGAAAAACTTGAAGAACGCGATCATTTTCACGGACTCACTAAGTGCTGTGACCAAATTGTCTAAAAGTTACATAGACATATCCACCGACCATGTCACACTAACTACAAAAAAACTAATCACAGAAGCTCATGAGATAGGAAATAAAATATACCTAGCCTGGATCCCGGGACATTCGGATATTCCTGGAAATGAAATGGCGGACACACTGGCAAACATTGGCAGAGATTTGAACGTCCCCAAAAACATTGATATTGACAAAGGGGAAATTGCAAACTTAATCAAAGCAGATATATTACTCAAGCATGATGAAGATTGGAAAAAATCCTTACAAATTAAGGGAAAGCAGTACAAAAACATCCAGTCATCTTTTCCAAAAAAAAAATGGTTCTCTAATTTTCCTTACGTGGATAGAAGACACATCACTGTTATAACAAGAATGCGATCCGGCCATTGCCTGACTAAACTACACCTTTTCAAAATGGGCATTGGGGATGACCCCTTGTGCGAATGTGGCAGGACGGAGGACTTGAACCACATCTTCTTTGAGTGCCCGATTAATGAAATTCCTACTTTCAATTTATATGATAAACTTAGAGAACAAGGTATGAATTTACCCCTGAATATCACCTCGGTTTTATGTAATATTAATATAGAGACAATAAGTTTATTAATGAAATTCTTGAATTACAATAAAATTAAACTATGAAGAAACAATTCATTTGATAGTAATGCATCAAAAATTTCTCTAGCTTTTTACAGAAATATCAGACTACTACTACCCATTTCACCCAGTGCCCCCTCCCTGTCCAACCGACGCAGTCACCCTTTGTGTAGCTCCTCCGCTGCGCGGGAGCAAGAAGAGTCTTCACCTTTGTTGTGTTTGTCTATATACTAAAATAAGCCTCATTTTATTGAATGTATTCACAGCGAGTTCTTGAAGTGTATCGTAATTATTTTATAAAAAGCAATCTGGGAATTCCACCGAATGAGCTGGCAAATTGCCTTGTAGCAGTGCCAAATAACGAAGAAGAAAAAGAAGAAGAAGAGTTTTGTTTATATGCCATGTCAAATTTAGTTTATTACTGTAAATTAAAGTACAATTATATGGCCATCTCCGATGATTCATGATAATTGTAATAACAATTAGTCATAGTCTAGCTCAGCATTTATTCTTTTATATAAATTCGAGCAGAGAAATAATAGTTTAGTTCTTTAGTTCGTTTCACTGAGTTCACACGTTATTTATTAAGTAATAAAGTTTTTTAAAAACATAAGTTGCTTAATTTAAAACATAACTGCAGTTAAATACAAAAACTGTTTTGTTTAGGAATGAATAAATTTTATTAGGGTTTTCCACTTATAACTGCTGGACAATTGCTATCGAGCAAGGAAATGTTTCCGCCTAATTTCAAGCTCAATATTTTTGGAACCAGACCAAATATTGACCTCCGGTTTTCACGGGCTGACAGATTGATTTTTTGTGATAAAAAAAAATGCTATATTGAAACCAGAGGTCGATATTTTGGTTTCAAACATATCGAGCTGGAAAGTTAGACAAAATTTTCCTTTTGCTCCTAAGCAATAATTTTCCCAGCAGTTTAGTTCAGTGGCCATTTTCTATCTTTTATTTTATTATTTAATTTTGTATAATTTATATAGCTTAAAATTAGAGCATAGTATTGAAGATACTAAATACTGTTATATGATTATAAATTTGCATTTAAGCCTATATTTAATAAAAAAATAAAGCCAAAATCACTTTCGAAAAAACGAAAAAAAATAACATGAAAATCATTAATTTCCAAGAAATCCTTCCCATTATGAATTTAGTTAAATTGTCAAATTTATTAATTTTTCACATTATTTTATGTATTATATTTCAGGAAATGTGTACTAATTGTATTGTTGAATTTTCATGACAGCTGTTAATATTTGAAAAAATAACTTTGAATAAGAAATTGTTAAAAATATTCTCAGTCATAAATTTCTTTTCAAGTTAATGAGATATAATTTAAGTGTAGACAAGTATGGTTTAAAGTTTATTTTGTAAAAATGGCTTTGGTCGTCAATAAATAAACTAGATATTGAATTTATATTGTGTCGATCTTTCCTTTGCCTTTAAACATACCCGAAATTTGTATGAAAGCGATCTTAGTAGTGAAAAACTCGTGCGTCTTTGAAGTCAATAAATAGGTATTAGAAAAATCTTTCACTTCTTGCAAACTCTTATTTTTGGCCCTTGATCCAAAATTATGAGTTGGAAAATTCATAAAAACAATTTACAATCTTAACGGTATTGAAATTTTCATCATAGGTGAACTTTAAATTTCTAAAAAATAAATATTTAAAGATATTTGCGAGTTAGATAAAACTTTATAATACGCCACTGCGGAGCGCCGCCGAGCGGTCCTCTCCGCTTTTACCAATGTTGAAAGAGAATAGTCGTCGCTTCAAACAATCATGGATTGTGTTTATGAAGTATTTATTTAAACTTTAAACTTTATTAACGGACAAGCCATTTACAGTAAATAACATAATACAAAAATATATGACGTTATAATATTAACGAAAAACACAAGAACTTAAAATTTAACATTTACGGTACATATAAATACACTGACACTAAGCGCTGCAGACTATTTAACAAATGTTTACAAGTTTTCAGAGTCATGCCATTTATGAATGAAATGTTTTGTCTATCTGTGTTATATGGTCTAAGTATGGTCTAAGTATGCAATGATTGCGAATTTAAGAGGATTAGAAGCTATATTTTACTCAACCAATGTAAAAATTCCATTATTCTTACCATATTAACGTGTCCATGGTGACAAGCCACGTGCAAAGGCGTATAACCACTTTTGGTCTGAGCATCTTTCTGAGCACCCGCTCGCAACATCAATTGAGCCACAGCGACTCTGTCTTCTTGAGCACAAAGATGGAGCGGCGTTAGGCCATTCTTGGAAGCCCGGTTCGGATCAGATTGATGTTCCAACAGCAAAGAAGACATATCTGAGTGGCCTTCTTGGGCGCTCAAGTGCAAAGGCGTGAAACCGGCCTTAGATTCAGCATCGGCTTGCGCGCCATATTCTAGAAGAGTTGTTGCAATGTCCATCTAAAATTTGAATCACAACATTATCAAACAAAATTTCACTGAACAATATTCTACCTGATTTTTTCTAGCAGCTATATGCAAAGGCGTGTGTCCGTTTTTAGCAGCGGCGTGAGGCGAAGCCCCTTTATCCAACAACAACAAGGCCACCGGCTGATGATCGTAATGGGCGGCAACGTGTAAAGGGGCGACCCCGTTTTTACCCTGAGCATTGGCAGGAGCGTCTCGTTGCAACAGCAACCTGGCAACGTTGAGGTGGCCATATTTGGACGCTAAATGCAAAGGAGTGAAACCTTTTTTTGTGGTGGCAGTGAGGTCCGCGCCGTTGTCCAAAAGCACTGAGGCTACTTCTTCTTGGCCTTCTTTGGCCGCAATGTGTAATGGTGTGTACAGGTCTTTAGTGGTGGCTCCCGGCTGAGCACCGTGTTGCAATAGTAGCATGACTATGTCCACGTTACCCAATCTGGATGCTACGTGTAAAGGCGTTTGTTCTTCGCGAGCTTTGGCATCTACTGACGCACCGTTTCTGAGCAGGATTCTAATGATGTCTGTTTGGTTGGCTCTGGCGGCTAAATGTAGCGGAGTTTCACCTGGAATTGACAAAATTAACAATTATTTTTGAGCATTTATTCCTGTTTAGTTTCTATTAGTTATAGATGGCGTGTTTATTTTGGTTTGGTTACAGTGACTCAATAAATCATAGTGAGGACAATTGTCAGCCTTATTTGGATTGGCTTTTTGAAATCCTACACATTCATATCGAAAATGAGAAAGAATATGGTGGCGGGACCTCTATTATTGTCGCCACTGTCTGTAAAGGTTTATTGACTTGTTGTAGGTTTAGTTTTCAAATGAAGGCTGTCATGCAGTTAGCTCTTATCAATTTATCATATATAGGCCCCAACATAGGCGCAACTAGGGGGGTGCTTGGGGGTGCTAAGCACCCCTAAAGCAAAAATTAGCACTCCTATTCGGCATCCCACCATAGCACTACCTAACACTTATATAAAAAATTAGTGCAACCAAATTATTTTATTTTTTTTTGCACTTTTTTTACTTACTTATGCTATCGATGACGTCATAATTTAGAAAAAAGTATTTGTCGTTGGCTAATTCATAGAGCACGTTGGCAATTATTACTGTTATGGAACAAAATTTTTCAACCGGTGCCGGTATTACAATATTACCTTAAAATCAAGACTTACCCTAAAGTATAGGGTTATTATGTTATATTTAGGATGGACGAACAAGGTCAGACAATGTTGTCAATGTCTGTGTTTATTCTATATCTTAAGGTGACATTGAAATACCGGCTCTTAAAAAATCATTAGAATCCCAAATAGGTATATAAATTAATTAACTGCCTATTATACAGGGTGTTCCTAAATATCATGTACAAACGATAAAGGGTGATTCTTTTTTTTTACGACTAAATATGTTCCAATAAATTGACTTATTTAAGCAATTAAAAAAAATTCACCCTCTTACATTCTAATTTTTTTTTGGAAAACTTGCAGAGAGAAAATTTTGAAATTTTTCCAGGAATAAGAGGAAAATGAGGAGCTCATTTTACGAAAATTCAAAATTTTCCAGTAAAAATTCTGAAAAATTAACTTTTTGAAGTAAAATTAAGGAAAATTCACCTCTTACATTTTAATTTTTTTCTGCAAAACTGGCAAAGGGAAAATTTTCCAGTAATAAAAGGAAAATGAGAAGCTCATTTTACGAACATTTCAAAATTTTTCAGTAAAAAATCACTCCAGGAAAAATTTTGAAAAACTAACTGTTAAGCAAAATTAAGGAGAATTCATTCTCTTACATTTTAATTTTTTTCTAGAAATCTGGCAAAAGGAAAATTGTGAAATGTTTCCAGAAGAAAAAGAAAAGTGAGGAGCTCATTATAGAAAAATTTTGAAAATTTTCCAGTCAAAAATCACTCCAGGAAAAATTCTGGGAAATTGAGAAGAAAATAAAGAGCTCATTATAGCAAAATTTGTAATTTTCGAAGACTCGTAATTCTCGTAATTTTTCTTTAGAAATTTTTTAATTCCTGTCATTTCTCAAATAATTCTTATAATTTTTTATCAATTCCTGTTGTTCTTCAAATTTTCGTAATTTTTTAATTCCCGTAGTTTTCAGAAAATTCCGTTATTTTATTAATTCCACGTACTTGTATATTTCGAAAATTAGTAGGTAATTCCCGTAATTTCCGTATTAATTCTGGGCGTTTTTCAAAATTTGTATCGTTTCCCAAAAGCCTTTGTAATTTTTGTAACTTTAATTTCTAATTCTCGTAATTCCCGTAACTTTTTCGTAATTCTCGTAATTCCCGTAACTTTTTCGTAATTCTCGTAATTTTTATAATTCTCGTAACTTTGATAGTTTTCGTAATTTTCAATTGTAATTTTTTAAATTTCTTGGACGTTTTTGGAAATTTTATAATTTCCCGAAGGTCTTTATAATTTTTGTAATTGTAATTCCTGATTCTTGTAATTCTTGTTATTTTCTAACTTTTTGAAAATCATCATAAGTTTTTTTCGATTTTTGCAATTCGTTAATAAATTTCCGTGATTTATTTCCAGAATTTTCGTAATTTTTGTAACTTTTCTAATTTCCATAATTTTTTAAAAATTTAATTATTTTCGGTAGTCCCGAAATTTTTCGTAATTTCTGCAATTTTTGCAATTCCCTCAATTTTCGTTAATTAACAAATTCCTTAATTTTTGTGTTATTTCCGATATTTTTTTTTTTCAATTTTCCGTAATTTTTGCAATTCCTATAATAATTCTAATTGTCCTAATTTTTTTTATGATTTTTCTAGTTTCCGTAATTTTTTATGATTTTTGTGATTTCTGTTATTTTTTTAATTCCCGTAACTTCTTTATTTTATTTTTCAATAATGATAATTCCCGTAAGTTTTTGAAATTTCCGTTATTTTTGAAATTTTCGTGATTTTTATTATTTTTTCGTAAAACATAATTTTCAATAAATTTTTGCAATTCTATGTAATTTTTGAAATTCGCGTAATTTTTTTCAATAATTTTCATTGTTTTCCGTAATACTCGATTTTTTTTCTAATTTTATAATTCTTCTCTCAATTTTTTTAAAAATTAATGTATTTTCCGTGATTTTTTTGAAATTTTTGTGATTTTTATTAATATTTTTCCATATTACGTAATTTTCCAATAATTTTCGTAATTTTACATAATTACTGAAATTTCCGTGATTTTTTTTGTAATTTTATAATAGTTCTCCTAATTTTTCAATAATTGTAATTCCCGTATTTTTTTGAAATTTCCGTGATTTTTTGCAATATTCGTTATTTTTCATTTTTGTAATTCCTGTAATTTACGTAATTTATCAATGACTTTTGTAGTTCTACGTGATATTTGAAATTGCCAATAATTTCCATTGCTTTTGTAATACTCAAATATAATTCTCCTTTTTAGTTTTTAATAATGGTGGTTTCCGTAACTTTTTAAATTTTCCGTGATTTTTGCAATTCTTGTAATTTTTGTTATTTTTTCGTAATACGTTATTTTCCAATGTTTTCGAATTTTTAATAATTTTTGAAATTCCCGTGATTTTTTTCGTAATTTTTTAATTCTCCTAATTTTTTACAAATTTAATTCTCGCAATTTACCCATGATTTTCGCAGTTCTACATAATTTTTAAAATTCTCGTAATTTTTGTAATCCTCGTGATTTTTGTAATTTTTCCGTTATTTCCGTAATTTGCCAATGATTTTTGCAATTTTATGTAGTTTTTGAAATTCCCGTAATTTTTTAAAATAATTTCCATTACATAAGTACATATTTCCATTCCGGGTTTTTTTCGTAATTTTGCAATTCTCATCTTAATTTTTCAATAATTGTAAGTGCTGTACTTAATTTTTTTCAAATTTTCATGATTTTTGCAATTTTAATGATTTTTGTTATTTTTTTGTAGTTTCTATATTTTACGTAATTTTTCAATTATTTTTGTAATTTTACATAATTTTTGAATTTCCAGTATTTTTCAAACTTATTTTCATTGCTTTTGTAATACCCGATTTTTTTGTAATTTTTTAATTTCCTCTTAGTTTTTTAATAATTAATTTATTTCCCGTAATTTTTCAAAATTCCCGTGATATTTGCAATTTTTCCGATTTTTTCGCGATCCCTGTAATTTTTGAAATTTTTATAATTTTTCAATTTATTTTTATTAATTCTATATTTTCCGTATTCCTGTATTTTCCGTAATTTTTTAATGGAATTTTTATAATTTTCGTAATTTTTTTGATTTCCGTACTTAATTTTTTGAGGAATCTTTGCAAATTCGGTAATTTTTTGATTTTTTCGTAGTTTCTAATATTTTTTAATTTTTGTAATTCTTTAATAAATTATTTTCGTAATTTTTTAATTCTTTTAATTTTTATAATTCTCATATTTTTTTTTTAAATCTAGTAACTTTTTGTAGTTTTGAAATTTTTGTAATTTCTACTAATTTCAATTTTTGTAATTTTCGTAAAATTTTTCGAAATTTTTGCAATTCTTATATTTTTTAAATTATCAATTCAAAACTATAGGAATTATATACATAATTCAAAATTTCAAAAAATATTCTGAAATTACGGAAATTATTCGAATATTGCAGAAATTACGAAAAATAACGGAAACTACAAAAAAATACAGGAATTACAGGAATTGTTTTATTTCACCTTGTATATTAATGAATGAAATTTGAACAATAAATATATAAAACAAAATAAGTAAAATGAAAAAAAATAAATAAATAAATAAATAAATAAAATAAATAAATAAATAAATAAATAAATAAATAAATAAATAAATAAATAAATAAATAAATAAATAAATAAATAAATAAATAAATAAATAAATAAATAAATAAATAAATAAATAAAGTGTCAAACTTCGAAAATCTCTTCCAGTCCATAGTCTTCCCCGATGGTACCCATTACAGAGGCTGCGTTGCCACGCTGCACAGCTAAGCTGATCCTCTGAGTGATGAAGCTAAGAGACCGCTGACAATGGATCTTGGAAGCAATCTCTTGGACCAACCTCTTAGCCTCATCGCCCCAAGGACCCAATGTCTCTATGGCGATGGGAACAAAAACAAAGCGATCCTCCAGCTCTTTATATTTGATATGTTTTTTAGATTCAGCAAGTAGAGCAGCTGACCCAAGTGCTTTCGATGTTCTGTCTAGATAGGATTTTGCCAAGGTATGGCTACATGTTGCATCCCAAATCAGTTGCTTTCCCTGTTTCCATGGGATCAAAGTCATTCCATCCGCTCTCTTACCGTCATTTCTACAAATGCCGAGCGGCTCTAAAACTGCTGGGTGTTCAGCAGAAATTAAAGCACGCTTAATTATGTCATTGATTTGACTATGCCTTGAAGCACGACCTGCACTCTTTTTGCAGCTAAGCCTATGCGAGCCATATATATCTACTGTTTCACCGCAAATGCAGGGGTGCTCCACAGCCACAGGCAAACCAAGTCTAATTGCAATTGATATTCGGAAACATGTATTATCAAGCTGGTTTCCCAAGGAAGCGGACGGAAGAGCATTGAGCCATGCACTGGATTC